GCTGGTTGATATGAGGTCCAGTTCATTGTGGCTTTATAACTGGTTCATAAAGTTGACTGATGCATAGATCTTAATTCCGATGTTTCACTCTCAAATCTAAATAATACAACCTTTTTTTCTCCAGAAGGTCTCTTATACTTATAACTCTAAAGTGCCAAACGCAAATATAAACATGAGGCATTGGGGTACCTTAGTGACTAGTGTGAACTTTGCCAATAAGTTTGGGCAAGAGTGTGTTTTGAAGAAAATCTGAATAATGTCAGAAAGCTGATAGCAACCATCAAGAATCGGACAGCATTCGGAACGCGTCGATAACCAAGGGTTCAGAATGGAGCTGGTTTTCAAAATCTCAGCAAAGATGTCAACGTTGTGGTTTAGAGAAGAGAAGGTGATGGTGTTCTTGGTACGCTCCGTCTCGCCTAAGTCCGGGTTGATCTTTTGGAGAGTCTTGGTCACGAGAATAAAATATTTCTTGGGAGCAGGATTCTTCGGGATTGTTAGATAGATGATTGCTATAAAAAAACGGTGAGTGGGATGGTGCCAAATTACAACGATCAACTAGCGATGGGAAGTAACTGAGATGTCTAATGTCTATGAAGAATCTTATCAGTGGAGAAATAAGGATTGGCCTAGGTAGAATACTAGCTAAAGTATTTACATATGCATATCTTCCTGAATTTAAACAGGCTGACTCGGGGGATTGCTAGATTCTGTTGAGTAGATGACTATACGAACAGTATACTAAACAGCATGTAGTAAATGGAGTGATATATTTTACAAAGGAATACTTTGGAGTGTGAAAAATGAATTGAAAACTGTCTAATCTTCTCAATGCTTGGGGATAAAGCCATATTTATGGTTTCATTCCCACCCCTATAGATTCTATCTGCTTCTCACTAGCTAATATACATTTTAATGAGAAATGAGAGATGGAATCATGAAGAAGTAGAAGAAGAAGCTCAAAGAGCGGTGTCAGTACTGAGTACTGGATTCTCCAAGATTCCATTGACTAAATGCAGTCCGAACTGGAATACTATTGTGCGATTCAGGATGCTCGAGTTTGTATGGCGGAATATGTGATAGAGGCGTCAAACTGCATCGATGCCGCTAATCCCGATTCCGTAGGAGTCTTGCAAGACTTGGCGTATGCAATAATCATTCGCATGCACGAAATCAATTAGGGTTTAGCGTTGAAATGGACCCAATTGCATGTTTAATTATGAAGAATTAACTTGGTTTTTCAACAGATTCTCCCGTTTGTACGGCAGATTTTGGACGCCATCGCGCCAACCTATATAATTTGACAGAAATCTCGTGTACAGCAATGTTTGGTATAGATATTCGGCTGTGTTTGCGGCCTTATGATGTCTTTTTTGATATTTTTTTAGATATAAAGGCAGTAAGAAAATCATACTTAATATAAGAAACTATACTCCATGTTGTGCAGGATGCCCACCCAGGCATTGTTGTTCTCACGAGCAACTATCCTCAATTAATGATTACTTGGCCTCGGGCCTGTATTCACAATTCTTCCTTGGCAATGTTCTGGGATGGGCGAAAAGGCTACCCTCGTACTCCATACAATGTTAATGTATGGAGTATTTGCCTACATACATATATAGAACGCTCGGAATGGCGTCAGGAGTAGCTGTTTTTAGCGCCTGATTTAACATCGTTTAGTTTTGTGGTATAAGAAGGACCAATCTATGAGATAAAGCAAGGGGAATCATATTTCGAATGGTAAGATATTACCCGATATATATATGTGACTGCAGTACTAATGTACATACATACATCCCTTGAGTGCGTAAAGAACCAATGACCACTAGATAGATGTCACTAGGGGTATGTGCTCAAGCGGTACATTCTATTGGTTATCTATTTCGATAGTTTACGACCAATCCTACAAATCACATCAGCATGATGCCTGCATAGCCCCGGCCCACCTAAGCTGTGAATAGATGAACAAGTGGTTTACCGTAGTATCTTGACCTATCGCGCAGTTTTTGTTCGCTATGATATTAGTGATTTGGCTTCGGATAGAGAAGGAAACCGAGTTCCCCTGCTACATAACTAGTCTACTTACATATGTTACATGTATGTAGCTTGGAATAATTTGTTGAGCCTCGGCACGCACTAGTAATGGTAACACAAATATCGACACATGCAAGGGCTATGAATCTTTAACCCAATCAGGAATAAGCAAAACAAGATGCAGATAAATTCAAAGGAATAATTGTACCACTGCGTACCTACCCAGGTGTCTTAGGGCTCTACCTAGGTAAGCTGCCTAGACCGGTGGCTAGAACAATGACTCAGCATAGATCTGCAGCATCGCTTACATCATCATTGTGTTCCCTGTTCCGGCGGTCTTTTGCAGTCAACTTCACCCATCCTAAGCTTCTCCACACATTTTGTTTCCCGAACATTTGATTAGACCTGCATTTACAGCTTTATTCTATTGGCTGGGCAAACATTCAACCAGAACGGGTTGCAACCGTACCACCAAGCTCTCACACGACAGCATTGCGTCTATAACCAGGCTTTCGGCACGACCCCAATCGCATGGTCAGCTGTGACAGGACTTCATTCGGTCTTGATTTTGCTGGTGTGTCGCCAGAATGACGGGTCCAGATCGGGCTTCGCTCAATCGCCGCTCCTCCACGCAGCATTACCAGACCTTCGATACTCCACCGCCAAAGTCGCGTGGGCGACCTAATTCGGGCCAGTCCGAGTCCTCTGGGGACGGCTCACACGATCCCCACCATGAGACTGTTGATACCCCGGGAACGTCATCGCCGCTGCCAAAGAGGCAAATGGCAGTGCTAGCGATAATTGCACTGGCGGAGCAAACGGCGTTGAACTCGATTAGTCCATACCTCCCGGACATGGCATCAACATTCCCCGAAGTGGAACCAACACAGGTGGGTGTATACGTGGGCAGCATTGCATCAGCATTTGCGCTGGCTCAATTCAGCACGAACTATTTCTGGGGCTGGCTATCGGATCGTGTTGGCCGCAAGCCGGTAATCCTACTTGGTACATTTCTGACTGCGCTGTGTTTCGTTGCATTCGGATTCTGCAGGACTCTTGTACAAGCTATAATTGTGCAAGCATTAATGGGTGTGGTAAATGGCAACCAGGGTTTGGTGTCCACCTGCCTTGGAGAAATCACCGACCGAAGCAACCAGTCTCAAGCTTTTACCTACCTCCCGGTATTATACGGAATCGGAGGTATAACGGGACCACTCCTAGGAGGCCTCCTCGTTCTTGAGACGAACCCTTTTACTGGCAACAAAAACCCGTACCCCTATCTCGCGCCAAACATAGTGTCCGCTGTTATCCTTCTGATGGATTTCGTTTTCACAGCTTTTTTCCTGGAAGAGAGCCTCGAAGACGCAGACAGTCTTCCAAAGATTGGCAAAAAAGTGCGCAGCCTGTTCACATGGCTGTGGCAGTTCACTGGCAATGCCCGCCATCCGACCTATGTGGAGGTCCCGCAAGCAGTGCCATATCCCCACAGCCACCGCGATTTAGAGACCGAGGATCACGACAGTGACCTAGACTCTGCATCTGAGGTGTCAAGCATCATTGGCCACCACGAGGAGCTCTCTTGGGATGAGATCTTCACTCGAGACACACTCCTTCTTCTTTTGACCTACCTAATATTCGCTTTCTGCAATGTTTCTTTCAACTCGATGTTCCCAATTTTCGCGCAAGCTAAGCCCCCGGCCGGACGGTCACTCACACCGTCCGAGATCGGCCTTGCTCAAGGGTTCGCTGGAATCGTGACGATCATTTTCCAAATCTGTATCTTCAACCGTCTGCGAGACAAGATGGGTAATCGATGGTCTTACCGCGCAGGCCTATTTGGCTTTGTCGTTTCATTTATCTTACTGCCCTTCATTGGGTATAAGAGCAAGACCAGTAAGGGTCTGACTGGCAAGTCGGCCATTATGGCTATCGAACTTTGCCTTGTGTTGCTGATCAAGACCATTGCCTCCGTGGGTGGGTTGACTAGCGCTCTGCTTCTAGTAAGAAATTCCGATATGCTCTTTTTGTGACCTCCACCGAAACTAACAATTTCTCTAGATCACAAACTCAGCACCTAATCATGCTGTCCTCGGCGCTTTGAATGGCCTTGCACAGACTCTCTCCGCAGCTGGACGTTCAGTGGGCCCATTCCTCTCCGGAGGACTCTTCACCCTCACGGCCAAGATCCAGCCCAAAGGAGAGGCCCTGGCATTCGGAGTCTTTGGTGCGGTCTCCTTTATTGGCTTCATTATGAGCTTCGGCATTCGCGGTCGTTCACTCGAAGCAGAGGGCTGGGGTGAGGATAGCGACGATGGAGACAAGTCGGATGAGGACGAGCCGAGTGATGTTTGATTAGAATACACCTATAAAATGTGCTGACATGACGATGTGACGAGTTTATGCTTTCGTTCTAGCCTTTTTTCTGCATTTGTATATACATTAGCCCCGTTAATTTAAGATATATTATTGCTATTGCCGTCTTTGCTGAGACAAAATCGGGTGTTCGATTCAACCTTGAGCCTGATGGACTTTCTACGTGGAGATGTTGCCATGGGCCTGAGAAAGAATACTATTCAACTATTGGGATTTCCAGAGATACGAACCTACCTTTATGAATATATTAAAGCTGATTGAAGAACTAGGTCTAATCCTCACTTTCCTTTCAGCTTCAAATACCCTCGCCACCTCTACTACTATTGTAGTAATAAGCTAGGTCGAGTTGGGGTTTGGAACATATATTTCCTTGTTATAACATTACTATTAAACCAGACAACAATAAGCACAACTAGAAACTGGGGAGAGAGATCAAACAATTCATGGTGGCGGAGTCATTTATGAGAATGATTCAAAATCCAAAGACAACTCGAAATCCAAAGACAAACAGCAAGGGTATATAGCATATAATGATCGTGGCAGTGATAAAGAAACGGAATGAAGGCCAAAAAAAAAAAGTAACTAAAACACTATCAAGCCCAGCGCCAGCCAGAATCTCGTGACTTTTGACGCTTAATAACATCCGACAGCAAGATATCGCCTTGACCAAAGGGATTGCGCTCATTCTTCTGCCGCTGATGTTGAAGCAACTGCACAGCAGCGGTAGCATCAATCCCTTCACCAGTATCCGTAATCTTAAGAGCCCACTTAGCATCTTGCGTATTAAAGCCAAGCTCATTAACCATCATATCAATGGCGCGGTCAACAGGGTCTAGAACCTGCGGCCTCAGAGGGAGAGGCATCATAGCCGGTGGCTGGGTATGCGACGAAGTAAAGAAGCCGGCAGGATCGGACGGGTGAGTTGGGGTCTGAGGAGCCGTCCCAGCAGTCGAAGTCGAGGACCTGTCAAGAACGAGCGCAGGCACAGATGGAATGGGCCGGTGATCTCGAAGCGAAGCGTTGAGATTATGGACAATAGTGCTGAACTCCGACATAGGGCGTTCGGCAGAGAAGGAAAAGCGGCCTTTGGGATCTGGATCGAGACCGCGCTGACGGCGACAACGAAGCTCATGAGCGAATCCGGCTTGGCGCTCACGGATCGCGCGATCATTTTCGGTAGGGCTTGTTTTTTGCGGGCTGATGTCGGTCGGGCTGTCAAGTGCGCGGTCTTGGAGATCATAAGCGCGTGAGACTGCTTCTTTGAGGAATGATGATCGACTTGCTTCGGTTTCGGTTGATTCCCATTTGGCGAGACCGATTGACTTCGCTTTGATGAATGTGGCGGCAGTGGTGTCGGCAGGGCAGACTGCGCTGAGTGTTAACACTGCGCCCAGACCGAGCGTTAGAATGTACGAAGTCCACTCCTCTATATTTATGAGTTAGCCGCGATCAAATAGATAAGAGTGTTGCTTGCACTTACCAAGAACGGTTTCTTCGCGAGCTAGGTCACCATCTGGGACATTCATGTCATCAAAAATGCCGACCTTGCGAGCTTCAATGCACTTTCCATGCAACGGCTGCAACAGAACACCCATACAAGTCCAGATCTCCGTCAGATCGTACATCTGCTTCTGCGATAGACCGGAAAGATTCCCACGACCGAATCCCTCGGGCGGTTCAAACAGAACATTATTCATACCGAAAGGCTGTGTCATCGTCGAAGCCGAGGTAAAATGATTCTTCGCCTGAACGCCACCCTTTAACCAGTCCATTTGGCCAGCGAGATCATTCTCCCGGCCCTTACCACATCCAAAAATCCGACAGAAGGTCCAAAGCCTCCAAAACGCATCGTCGACTTCCCCAGCGCGGGTGTTATCCACGCCCGCCAGACCACGGATAGTATCACGACGCAGAAACGGAGCACACCGCGCAAGGACTAGCGCCTTCAACTTGGCAAGGGTATAGATATCCTGCGCATACCTTTGAAGATAAAGCGTGGGCGTGTATTCAGGAACCTGGGAGTCGGGATCTACAAGTAGCTGCCACTCCATTTCCCATGGCGGACTCATCTCGCGCATTTCCCAAGCGGGCGGGGACATTTTGAACAAGGCATTTTTCAGCATGGGCAGCTCACGACCTTTGAACGCGTTGTAGATCTTTTTGTTGACGAGAGCGAAGTTGAAAAGGTCATCTAGAGAGTCGATGTTCTGCATGATTGACAGAATCAAATCCAACGGCATATCTTCGGGGAGGGGGATACTGAGTGGGGCATTGCGCCTGGCCTCAGAAGGGACCGTGGATAGAGGTGAAGGGGGAGTAGCGGGAAGTTCATAGATCTGTTCAGTGAGTTGGACGCTGCTTCCCTGAGCAGTCGAAACCAAAGCCCAGCTCTGACGGGTTTTGGACGCTATGGGCTTCTCCTCTAGGTTCACGGCCGGGCCGAGGCTACCAGACAACGCTGCTTGTTCCGCAACGTGATCGAACGGATTCCGGAGATCATTGGTTTGTAGACGAGGTAATTGATGTAACAGACTGTCGCGCGTGGGGGAGGAATGCGCTTCTAATGTTATGTTGAGGGAATCCTCCGATCGGGAGTTGACGCTAACTGCATTGTGCGGCGCTGGGCTTTGCTTGCGAAAGGCCAGGAAGGACTTTTTGGATTTTGTCTTTCTGATGGTTTCTTTGGAAGTTAGAGGATTTTTGGCGTTGGCCTTTTCATCCATCTCCTTCTCCTTATCCCTGCCCGATCGCCTGTCTTTCGCCTCCCTCTTACTGAGTTTGTGACTTTTTTCTTTGGCTGGACTTGGGCCTATTGATTTAATCGTGTTGATCCGACTGTTCTTCAGTGTGGACTTCCCTTGCGAGGTTTCTGAGTGAGGCTTCGTGGAAGGGGGGAGGGGCGCGGGCCGGGTAGCAATCAGGTCCCCGTTATGGCGGCTGATCTGCAACGGCCCATCGAGGATCAATAGTGTCTTGTGCGACAGATCTTGATCAGTCAGGCCCGCCAGGGCATCTTCAAGTTCCTCGGCGGCCTGCGATAATGTTGGGACATGGCGGGCTCGATGACCAGCGACCACTAGATCTGACCGTTGTCGACCCCGACGCTGCGGCTGACGCTGACTGTGTCCGCATGTATGGCACAGATGTTGTGATTCTCGCTGGTTATTCAACTGGTGTAACATGGAATGCTTCCAGTCGCCGTGGCTCACCGTGGTGGAGTGTTGCAACGAGCTCAGCGAGTCTCTCTTGGAGAATTGTGTTGACCACTGTGACCTGACGCGTGGTGAAATAGCCGAAAGAGGGGAGTCGTCGGAGCGATCTGGGGCTGAACTAGGACCGAAGGATGGTTCTAGTGGCAAGGGCTTGTTTTTGAGGTCGTTCATCGATGCCTTTTTGGTGATGGGGATTGGATGGGCGAGTTTTGACACGTGTAGGTGACAGGGCGCCACTATCGAGGAAGGCCGTGAGGAACAGATGGAACGGGCATCGTCGAAGACACCGGCGGCGACAGGGGAATAGATCGAGAATGCATCGGCCGTTTTGTGAGGGTGTTGTCCATCATCGCCCCAGAACGTGCTGCCGACACTCGTCACCGAAGTGCGACGACTGTAGCATGATGAAGCACAATCCAAAGTCTCATCAGATCCAGAAGACGTGAGGGTAATCTGCGGTTGATCGGCAGACCTATGTGCATCGGGGGCGACATCTGCAGACCCTCGATATAAAGTCTGCACGCGTTCTTCTAGTTCTCGTTCGAAAAAAGAGGGCCCCGTCGAGCGGTCCATTGTGGAATCAGCGCTGACCGGGGAGACAACGGCGAAGTGCGAGGATAGCTCTGGAAAGAAGCGGACCAAGCGGGAAGCTGAAAGCAATGGATGGGGATAGTCCGACAATGGAGAAATCTCAGAATCGTCTTCAGAATCTTGGGGTGATTCCAAGTCAACCATAGTGTCCAGAGATTTCTGCGGGGAGGCAGACCGAGTGTCCCCGTGGCCCCCGCTTGCGATATCTTCTTCTTTGAGACCCAAGTGGTGTGATTGGCCTTGAGTCTTTTTAGTCTCGGCTGCCATGTGTTTACCAGGGACCCTCGGAACCGCTCCAGACGGACCATGAGCGGTGTCCGCGCGTACTGGCATTGTCTGTAAATCTTTATTGACAGTGAGACTCGATTGACCTGAAACAGTGCCTTGGATAGCCGTGACCTTGGTTTCTAGACCGAAGGGCTTCTTTAGAAGCTTCAGCGACGGAGGACGAAAAGCTAGTTTCTTTTGATTTGAAGTCTTGGTCTTCTGGCTTGAAGGGTCACGCAGCCCAGAAGACGACAGCAAGAGCCAATAACTCATATCTCTCAGCTTTTGTTCTGGATCTTTATTCGTGGGGCATTGTTGACCGGTTTAGGCTGTCCTTGCTCTTTGTTAGCATGTCCCGATGTTGCTCAAAGCTCCCAATCACATTTCGGTTGCGCTAGAACATACTATAAAATGCAGACTCGTGGAGGCGAAGTCTAGGGATTTCTTTGTAGAAAATAGTTCGTTCCGGCTGTGGCTGCATAGAACAAAGAAAGATCAACGAACCCACCAAATTTTTCCTCTGTTCTCTGGCTTGTCTTTTTTCTTTCTTGCAAGTATGGGAGTTTGCAAAAATGAAACAGAAAAGAAGCAAGCTTGGAGTGGGAACTATTTTAGGTGGATGTAATACCGCATACCATAGGCACAGACCGGTTGATATCGTCTTTTTAGGCCCCCCGAAATGAGCAGGTGGTCCTCAAACGTTCTTGTACGCAGTATGGCGTTTGTCATTTGTCCAAATGACCTCCTAGGCAAATAATCAGACCATAATTGATTATTTTGTCGATTATTGGGTTAGTGTACGGAATACTGCAGCTAAAACAGCGATCCCCTGTGACCAAAAGATCGCCCCCCAAATTCCCAATTGAGTAAGTCGTTAGATACGGAGTAAACGTGTTGTTCAAGGAAGATTCTCTAATCCTTAATTAAATGGATATTTCTATACGGAGTACTTATAGTTGTATCGAACTTTGTATTATCTCATACCCAGAAAGGCGCAGTGAATGTTATTCTTATTCTCGTGTTGATTGACCCGAACTATTGCCATGAAGGGAAGTTAGTTGCAGTATAAATACGAATAGCCAAATTGGGCCAATGATATGCAATACCAATACCTCCCACATGAAATATATGCAAGGCGATTGCGACTATATTTTTCGCCCCATTGCCCGGTGCATTCCAGCCCCCAACGATGACTGTGAGTAAGATACGGAGTAGACTTGTACTCCTTACGCCCTAGAAACTCCGTTGATAGTCTTAGTATGCTCCGTAGAAAGCATGCTGATCCTAGTATTTCGAATTGCTTTTTATATAGATAATTTTATCAGCTATGTTTGTCAACACAGTCAGAAGGGGAGTTTCATCTAGTGCGTACCTCTTGCCTAGCCGAAACGCGCTTGTGCATACTCCGTACCTACAGCATAGTATGTTGTAGATCTTTCTTGAATTTATGTGCAGCGCCATGTGGATATCTCCCCTCCTTTAATATCTGAATAATTTTGGGTATCTGCTTGACTCTGCACTTTGCAAGTAGACCATTGGCCCAATCTGGAAGGAGGGTAGGTAACATCAAAAGAGCAACTACTCAACTGGTCACCTCAAGTGAAAGCGCAATCCACGTGCTACCCCCCGTCCCATTTCTCCCGACCGTTAGCGATAGCGCGGCTATGACGGTTAAAGTTGCAAAGGGAACGGGAACGGCAACGGCGACAGGTGGGGGCGCAAAGGCCCAGTGTTTTCGGGAATTCTCCTTCGCCACGTGCGGATTGAAATGGTTCTGATGCTCGATTTGATAATGACTCGACTCCACGTTCAAGCTTCCAAGGTCAATGTCTTGGTGACTGAATATTAGTTGATTATAGGGGATGTGTGGGGAAGATATAGATGGTAAGGGTGAGTAGAATGTTGATAGGAACAAGAAAAAGAACCAAATAAACCAAATAAACAAGGAGATGTACAGAGAAACAAAAAAAGTGAGAGGGCTAAGATATTGAGGCATATAGTACGGAGTACGGAGTAGATTGCAAGTGAAAAAGAGTAGCCTTGGAGTGGATCTCAAGAAAAGTAAGCTTTCTGCCTGAGGATAAAGTATATTTGCCTCAGGCTCCCATCTAAGACTATGGAGGTGTCAGTTTCATCTCATTTACAACATACGGAGTAACCTCTATTCATCTTATATTACTTCTTCTCGGCTTACTAAATATATATGTCTGTGATCAGACGTATTTTTATCATTTGCTTATAGCAGTAATATTGATGCTTATCAAACCTCGCGCTGGGAAATTTGAACACACCATGTAACCTTGTGCAGGGTTGCGGAATACCTCTTGACCAACGGGTGGCAAGAGCTACACGGTCCACAGACAGGGGGTAAATATTACGTCTAAATTGCATGTTCATCCCAGCCATTGACCCAATAATAGCCACCATCATATCCACGATGGATTATCAGAAGCTTGTTATCCGATTTTAATCGCTCGTCTTAGATGCCTTAGCTCAAATTTAGGTACTTCTACGCATAGTAAGCTGCATGAACATCCCGGCGTTTGGCCCAATGGGAGTCATTGTAAACCATCCTTGTCCACGGTGGCCTATTAGAAGTATGTTGCAGATGTATCTGGGCTTAATCGCTCGACTCAAGTGACCTAGCTTACTTCTCTTTTAAGTAAATCCCCTTGGTTATTGAAGACTCAATGATACTACATCAAGGGAACTGATGAGGTACTCGGCACGCTTCCCCTCCCCCTGAGGGGAGCTTGTGAATTCGTACATATAAAACCACCCAACCCACGAGAGTGTAAGTACTTTTAAGATACAACCACCAAATCTATATCAATTGTCTACTCAAACTATCTCTACCATGCTTGGCAAACTCCCGTCGATCGCAGCATTGCTGGCGCTCAGCCTATCTGCCCAGGCGAGCCTAATCTTCAAAAACTCCGGTACACTCTCAGGCTGGGACAAAATCAACCAAGAACACAAGGGCACCGTGAAGCAAGTGACAGATGAGGTGTACGATAGCAAAACCGCGCTCAAAATGACCCAAATCTACGACAAAAGCTACTCAGGCCGGTACCACTCAGAAGTGGTGAAGGACAACATTTACAAGCGTGGCGACTCTGGCGCATACGGGTTCTCCTTCCGACTGCAGGACAACTGGCAATTCTCCCCCGTGCAAACCTACGCCATCTCGCAATTCATCGGTGACTTCTCAGACAGCGGCTGTGACGACTGGATGCCGACGACCATGGTCGCGCTCAAGGGCAACAAACTCTACACGCGTGTCAAGCAGGGCTCAGTCTGTAACCAGTCGGTGAAAGGGTTCAACAACCTGGCCACTGTCACTGCGGGTGAATGGCACCGAGTTGAGATTGAGGCTAAGTGGGAGTCGGATGCGACGGGATATTTCAGAGTTTGGTATGATGGGGAGAAGGTGTTGGACGAGAAGAATCTCATCACTACTATTGATGGCGATGCGGCTTTCGAGTTCCGGGCTGGCCTTTATGCAAATGGCTGGCATGATGATAAGGAGATGAAGGGAACTCAGGGAACTAGGAGTATTTGGTATGATGAGATTGCTGCTGGGACTGAGCTTGCTGATATTTCAGGCTAAGGCCAAAATCGATGCCGGCGACTATTGATTTGGGTGGTTTCGAACGTTCTGTATTTAGTCAGGGGCAGTATTGATGTAAAGATGGAGGTGTTTAAATACAATTGAAGTAGAGTAATGGTTGAATTCTCTCGAATATGAATGTGCCTGTCCCTGATCTATGCTAGAGTTGCTCTTCGATTTGGAGTCTACAAAGTATGGCGTAGAAAACAAAAAAGCAGGCATATTGTGACGATTCCTGCAAAGAACTGGACGATACCTTCATTACTCTCTCCATATGATCTTCTCTAGAATAATGGGGGCCTTTGGCGAGAGGCTTGCCATCTTCCGAATAGCAGCAGTAGAAATATCAGGAACAACCTTCCTGTCTCCCTCACCCTATGCACTGTCAGAAAATGATGTGGCAATGAAGGATATAAATTATTCACGAAGTAGCTCCCCAGGTTTGATAAAAATAATCCAGAAAACTCCAGGAAATCGTTTAATTCGTCTCGACTGTCGCAACCTTGGTCGGCCAGGCTATTCCACTCTCCGCCACAAGCTTTATGTAGCTCTAAGATGGAATTAAAGCTCTCCGGCCCCTCGGGCGATGTTTGACGCAGAATAATTCTGGTGCCATGCCAAGAAGCCCGTGATAAATGATGGGCGTAAAGTATATTACGCTGCGCAAGGTTGTCAAAGAGCACTTTAGTTGCAAGCTGGTGTGTGGGTGCGCGTTGGCTGAAAGAGCTTGGAATAGCCATAATTTTAATATGCGACGTGCATTTGGTTTGATCTGTTCACAAGAAAGGTAGAATGATTGAAACGGCGCAGATGCTCTCATGTTATGTACATTATACAGAGCGGGGTCAATTTCAACAATGAAATGCCACGATGGGCTTTTCCTCGCCTCCAGCAGTAAGGTCTTAAAATGCGGTTTAGGTTATTTAGCTCTACTTTAAAAAGGGCCGCATAACAAAGATACAAGGGTTACGGACCCTTAAGTATAGATATATGCGGTTAGTGACTTAAGTTCATACGATACTGCTACACATTTATCTAACGCTATCATATAATACCCTAGGAGCACTGTATCGCAAGCCATAAGGGTGTGCAACTTGTCGGAAGCTAGTGATGATGCTATTTGCTTGGACTACGGGAGTAGTTAGAGGAAAAGCCCTTGGGGCTGCTTTTAGTGGTGACTTGTATTTCGGGAAATTTCAGGGGATTTGTCTCGTTGTTTCGAGAGCTTCCACCTACTCTTTAGTTAATCTTACCTCTCGAAGGATAAGTCATCCAACCTGCAGGTCCCTTTTGATCGTATTCTTTGTATCATCCAAGATGGCTTCTTCATCTTACACATTAATCTTCCTTTGTCGAAGCTGGAGTCGGGCAAATCGCTTTAAAATTAGATACCGATCTCCATCTTCCTTTATACGACTGAGTATCTAGATCTCTCCGCTATAATAGTTTACACACATGGCAATGTTCGAACGACTAGCACTAAGCCTGGCGATTGAAGTTTAGCTAGACTATTGTGCAATATTTTCACTTTCACAAATAAAAACCACGAAATATCTGAATGTCGCTTCTGGGTTGTGAAACAACCTCTTTGTTCCCAAGATGAGCTCGGTCAAAGCCACGTTCCCCCCATTTCTTCGAGTCCTCGATTCTCTTTGAGGACCATGAGCAATATGTGGTTGGGCTATGTATTCTCTTTAGATGATACTTTCAAACATTTTAAGTTGTTGATGTTGGCTTAATACCACAGAAATGAACGTTAGTGAAATTCATCCTCCGTTCGGCCTTTAGAATTGATGCACAGGGCTCACCGTAGACTTGACCCTTGAAACTGGGCTCAATCTTCTACTTCAAATTTATGGATATGAGCTTGCCATGCTATATCACTGCAGAAAGAAAAGGTTGGTTCGTCAACTCTTTGTTCATGTGTGCTCTTAGAATCGTCCTCGTCTACCCTTTTAGGAGAAATTCATGTTACTTCTTGTCCAATAACTGCGAAAGAATCTATATTTATCTTCTTTGGTTCCTTTTATCAAAGGAAAATGTAGATAATTGTTACATAGCGACATTCTTGAGGGTCAGGTGAAAAGAATATAAACTAGCTATCTGTCAACAGCTTGATAGCTTCTCACAAACCTCAAAACTCTCACGACAAACCCTGCAAATTCATTCATCATGGTCGGTTTCGACGAAGAAATGCTGGAATCTTGGGGTCCGGCAGTTTGGGGAGTCATCTTCGACCGATTGCAAAGTGGGAATGTCAAAGGTGGTGTGCTTCAGGTTGCCTGGCCAAGTAAAGTCGACAAGAAAACAGCAGCCCAGCAAATCCAATGGGCCACCAAGTTGCCTCTAGCCCAGCTTCCTCAGAAGGCACTCGAGATTATATTTGATAGAATGGTTGGTTTCTCATTGGGAGTTCGATATATGGAGGAAAAGAAGATCCACGCTATACATGGACTCGTAGGAAACAATGGACCCCTCAAAGCGAGTGTGGAAAAATGGCTCAGACGTGCTGGTACAGTCGAAAAATGGAGGGAATTGATCCGATCCTACACAAACTTTGAAGATGCAATGGGTCATTTGTCGGATTGCACCACGTTCCCAAGAGAAACGGACAACCATCCATTCAAGACTCACCCTGCATACAATGCGGCAATACAATGCTCCTCCTGCTTAGAATTCCTGGTTAGTTTCGGGATTGTCACGCCCAATGGCTATGACTTATCAGGAAGAAGTTGGCTTGAGGCAGGATTGAATGGTCCCAATATGGATTTGCTCACCTACATTGTCAGCAATGCGGATCCTCAACATCTGATCAAACCCAGAGATATCAGAGAAACCCGCGAAAACCATATTCTTCTTTCACTTGTCGGTGTCGGCGCATTTTCTCAATTCGTGATTGCCCTGAACAGGTTACGCCAGGCAAAACTTGTGCCGATCGAAGAACTTCGCACAATCTTCCACGAAGCAGCGATGCACGAGTTCTGCGCTGTCGCACCCGTCCCCGTGGCGGAAGCACTCTACCAACACGGAATCAACATCGGCAACGTCGAGCACCAATTCCACGATCTCGGCGGACAGCTAGAATCCTCCTGGCACATCGCAGCAGCCTTTAACCCTGCCGGAGCCGACTTCATGAAGTGGCTCGATAAATTCTCCATGCTCAACGCAGAGGTCCGAAACTCAGAAAACATGAATCCACTGATGTACGCCGCATGCTTTGACGAGCTAGCCGCAATTGACTGGCTGTGCCAGAAATGCGATCCCATGCAGCCCAGATTAGACGGAGGCCCACAGGGGTACGCGTTGATCTGCGCAGCTCGAAGCTCGTACCTTCACAGCGGCGAGATATTCTCCATCATCCTCTCACACCTACCAGACGCGCTATTTGAGAACGAATACGGCAAGATCTTCGGCACCGAGATCGCCGAGGGACTAGCATCGCACAAGCGCAAGCTCGCCGATGGCCGAACCACCGACCCTACGCAGAATGTGATGGAGCTTCTCGCGGTGCGCAAGATGCAAGCGCTCGTCCGCCGACTGTCTAATTTCTGGCCCGGTAGTGAATGGCACCTGGCACTGGAGGCGTTCATCCGCGATAACGATTTAAGTATCCTGAGACACAGTATCGGAACAGGGACGCGGCTGCTTCGGAGCAGCTCGAGGGATACCTCGCGCACCCGCCGTAGTGCACGCTACCCCCAAAGCCCTCAGTTACGCAGGAATTCCGAACAAGATGTGCTGCTGATGTATGATGATTCTGGCCTGGTGTCTGCTGCTCGCGCGGCCGCTATTAGGAGGAATAGGCCAAGTCATGTTACTGCTCGCAGTGGGGGGAGACAGACCCTTGGTCCTATCAGGGATCCTAGTAATATGGTCACCAAGTCTGTGCGGAGGGGAGGATCTAATCGTCGAAGCTGAGAGGTTATGTGTCGGTCGGTACTGGTAGAGGGGTCGGCGTTGCTTGTTGTATGAAGTATGGGAGTGCGCGTCCCAAGTTTTTATTTCGTTCATATCTCATGGCTTTTCTGTGGTCTATTCCTGTTGTCCTTTTGCTGCTTTCATGTGTTTACAGTATTTTGGAAGTTCACGAATAGTCTATTTTCTCACATTCTCACACCAGATCATTGTATATTGCATAAAATCTCTCATCTCAATTAATCTGTATGTAGTTCCCAAGCCAATTGTTAAATAAACAAGTTGACCAAAAGCAAAGATAAGGGTCGGACGAATCTACCAGTCAAGTGCACTTGGTGAAGTACTGTTATGCGATCCACCGCTAACACAGTCTAGCTCTTTGCAAACTGCTATTCATTAGTAGATAATAAGGCCTAACTGGGACTTGAAGCACTTACGCTGGTCTGCCTTTTGGAATTGCGTGCTTCCTTCTGGTTTGTGCATGGCCGGGAGGATCTGACCCCCTTCGATTCGTTCGAGCTTTGTGTGCTCCTTGAGTCGACTCAAAATTTGACGAGTGTCTGCTTATTTAAATTAGGCAATGGAAAAGAAAGCCGATGTTGAAAGACGTTACCTGTATAATTTAACTCGCCCGGAGAGCTAATTAACGTATCAGCAACAGATCTTGTCGGGCATGAAATATCATATAGAACTTACCCTTGCTTGGTCGAGATAGATTGATATTCAAGCTCAATCTCTGCAATCAAATTCTTGGTCGCGCTCTGTAACACCTCGGACATCTTCTTAATGTCTGGTTCACTGACGGCGGAGCAGGCGAAAAGGTCGTAGCGAATATGCGTCTTCGACTCAGAGGCGGGAAAGAATGAAAGGGCGAGCCATAAATCCGCATCTTGAAACGCATACAGAAATGTAATAGGAAACAAGGAACAATCTTCCCGGGTGCTATTCCCCATAATGGACCTGAAAAGCTTTCTGATAAGAGAAGGCCCCGATACTTCAGACATTCTGCGATGTATCTCGCTGGTATAGGGATCGAGGTGACAAGCTCGTACTATTGAAGTGTTAATCATTGTCTCCGACCATTTTTAACATTCCTTACTTACCTCCAACCTTCCAATTAAAGTCTCCGGACAAAGTCTGACCAGAAACCCAACTGGATTTTGCTTCCAGACCAGGTACGTGGGCAAATCCACTCAAAGTCGATGGGACCTGACTATCAAATGCAGCTGGCTCGCCAGAATTGAGATTAACAAAGACCATCCCTTGATCGGTGGTATGCGTGTGAACCTCAAACAGACTATTCTGCGACTTATCAAAGCCAGGAACATCATCAAACTGAGGAGCCTTCACCAACCGACCAGTGGTATCATAGCTCCAGCCATGATACCGACAACCAAGAACAGTTGAGGCACCGGTCTCCTTTCTGGTAATAGTGTAGGCGCGATGACGGCAGACATTATGAAATGCGCGGATCTTGTCGTCTTTACCGCGAATGAGGAACACCGGAAACCCAGCAACGTCGAAAGATTGATACGCGCCGGGTTTGTGGAACTGGGAGCTGTGGGCAAGATAGAGCCATGTCTAGAGCTGCATGTTAGCGATCCTGCCAAGCCATATTGTACTCATATTTATATTACTTGGCTGAAGAGCGCGCGCCGTTCGAGTTCGAAGACTTCCCGACCGCTCCACCATCCTTCTGGAATTTCAGGTTCTTTGGAAACGGTCAAGTCTAAGTTACGTGGAGATGTGATTGCGATAGACTCGGTGACTTTATCGGCTTTAGTTTGAAATAAATGCGGCCATGCTCGGTGGAGTAGAAATATAATTGTCACCAAGACCACGAGGATCGAGGCTGGAGAGGTTGAATAATTTGCCTCGGTAGACTCCATGAGGAAGAAAGGTGTTGCTGTTTTGATAATAGAAAGTGGTTGGCATCTGTCCTTGATATACTTCCAAGGTTGTCACTGGGAAGCCTACATGTCACCCCTCCACATTATACTCTCCACACTTAGTGCAGATGCCTCCCTACATTACCGTATTTGGTTGCAATTTCCTGGTATCACTTGGCTGAGTTGTCACTGCTGATTTTCCACCCCGTCTGATTGGAGCTATCTTTATCATACGGTGAGTAATGTGCAAGGCGTTAGGATTATTATGATTGTAAAAATATTCATATCTCATATAAAAAAAGCGGTCACTATATTCCCATGAACAAATACTATGCTGCCATCTGAACCATGGTAGGCGCAACATGCTCCTCCATTCCGGACTCCTTCGCTATCTTAGGGGTCCTGTCGGAGTCATGCTGCTCGCAAACCATATCAAACACTCGTCTCTGGTAGTCTGAGGGAAAAATGTGTATTAGCATTATTGCACGAACCAAATTTGGAAGCCACAACTCACAAGACACGCCATTCTCCTTGTTTGGGTTCAGAATTCCCTCGTGATAGACTCCCTTGGCTAGATTGCTCTGGGTTTTCTCGCAGAGCTCGAAGTCTTCCATAGCAACTTGACGCACAAATTTAAAGTATTCCTCGAACTTCTCTCCCGATTCAAGATGGAAGTAATCGAACTCCATCCGCGTAACATGCGGGTCAGCGGTCGGGCATACTCTGAAGCAGGACATGCCGCCGCCATAGACATTTAGAGTACAGTTGGGAAAGAAGTATAGAAATAGACCGTCATCTAGCTTGTTAGGGTCTGCGATATGCTGCGAAAAATTCTGCTTGTTGCGCACGGTGTAGAAGGTTGGTGGGTAGTATTTAGAGAAAGACGGGTGAGTGTATTGGCAGTGTAGACACTCTTGATATCCGTCGACCCTGACGAAGGTTAATTATGACACAATAAATGAGGTGATGAGAAAAAATTACATGGTCTTCCAGTTGAACCGACCTTCATAGCTGATGCTACGACGGTGCGGAAGCTTAGTGAAGTCGACTTTACCGAGCAGCTCCTCAAGCTCTGGGAAGAACTCATGGAAATTGGGAGCATCATCGGAGATAGTTGAGAAGAGAAGTCCAGTCGGGGTTAGATGACTGCGCAGTTCCTTTCCCTGTAGATAGCACACTTATTAGGAGGAACTTCACATTTCACCTGGATCACACATACCGTTTTCGCGCAGACAACCTTCAGCTCCTCAGCGACGGGATTCAGACCCTCCCCTGAGATACGAACAGCAGAGATGGGCTGCTGCGCAACTTCGTATGGAACGTGCTCGCCTACGACCTGGAATCTGGTCACCGGGCCAAGCAAGTACCAGGACTGGAATACAACTTAGTTTCCTTCAACTGCGAGAAGACTGCGTTACATACTTTGAGAAAGACCGCCCGCCGCTCCATTTGATACAGTGGCTGACTGCAATACCAGGAGGCAGGCAAAGTGCGAGTGAGCTCAGACATGATATCGATAAAATTATTGAGTAAGTTCAAGTATCAAATTGTCACAATTGAAGTTGTGAACTGTGACAGCGACCGCGAAAGAGGCACATTTTTATATCGCCACAAATGCATTTTGTGACAACGGAGTGACTCTCGATATCAACTGATAGACATGCAATTTTTGGTGTTAATAAGGTTGTACAACCTTGAGTGCGCTGGAAAGGTGCGGTATATCGTTTCCCAAACGAGTTATCGTATCCCGTCGATGTCACGTCTGATCACATGTGTGACGCACAGATCTGAGATGTTCTGGCCGTGCAAAGGCCCTAAAGATAGGCAAGATATCTTCAGGGTCTTGTTTTTTTATGAGTTGTGTCAAGGAATAATGACGCCAATCGGGAATTTATGAGGGAGGAAATGAATATACCTAAGTAGGCATTTTAAGCCTGTCTTTGCTTGGGATAACTTCAGAGGACGGATGATATTGAGAGAGCTAGAAATATTGATTGGAAGTTTTATGACAATGCCGATAGTAATAGTTGTTCCAATCATTTGCTGTGCTTTTTCAACGGGGATTAAATAGCTTCCAGAAATAGTTTCTTCCCAGAGTCATACATATATCCTTAATTTTCCTCCATCATCTGCTCTCATGATTGTTTTTTTATTTTTTGGCAAGAAAAAGTTTGCAAACTGATTGAAACCGTTTGATTCCTGGCACTATGTCTCGTCTTGACCCCCTAAGTACTACTTAAACCCATCAATAAATTAATGTAATGTACGTATACATCACTGTCTTTGGACGGCTTTTTAGTCCTCTCTCATCGATAGACTGTGCTTGCTGATGTCTACTAAGGACTTTACCTTTTTTCAAAGGCTCTTCCCACAGCCAGGTGATCCGGAGGCCAGAATCTATACGGAGTACATAATAAGCCAATCACATCAGGATCACTAGCGCCGCAAGTCGACAGTTGAGTTCCACAGAATTCCCGCATGATGGCCCTGTAGCGATTATGCGCTTGACTGGCATGGCCTCTTACAAAGCCAGGGTCTTTGAATTGGCGTTGGACACACTAGTTAACCAGTTAGTCAAAATGGCGAATGTTGGTCTCTTTAAATGTTATGAGTTTTACGAATTATCCAGTGGCCAAGGGATCCTGCACCCATGTATGCGCCTTTGAGGGGACGTGCCAGCCAGAATTTACGCCTCCATCAAGGCAAACCTGAGCTCTATTGCTCGGTAAATGCTAGATGCTTGAGTGGCGAGCTACCTGGTGCAGCATGCAATCAATTCCGAGAACAAAAATGGCCGATCGCGCCAAGTCGCGCACACAAAAACACACAGAGAGCGAAAGAGCAAGAAATTAATAGCTCATGACTCTCAAAATCCGAGTCTGTTTGAGCCCCGTTAGTTGAATTTGACTACGGAGTACGAGTATAGACGAAGTAGGAAGCATTCCGTTAAGCAATTTTGAAATAGCCTGGCCCCTCTGCTGCGATCCTATCATGACACAGCTCTTAGCGCCCCTCGCAAGGATCCCTTATTTTTTCTTCATCCTCGAGGGCTTCAAAATTTCTTATACGCACAAGCATCTTCCATATTTTGCTAGACTTTCAGGGGTCGTAGAGTTTGAAACGGAAGGTAAAGAGATGAGGGGTAAAGAGTATCCATATACCGCGCTAGTACTCCGTAATATGCAAAAGTACGAAAGAAGGCAAAGATTGAGAAACTTTTGTAATGGGTCTCCATACACAGCCCTCAATACTTGTTTCAATCTATCGAATGGCTCTACGCACTAAAAGTGGACTCGCAAATAGTTTAGCGGAACGTGGGGATGGACATCGGGCGCCAATTGATCTTGAGATTGTCTACTCCGTACGGACCTCGGGAGTACTGATGTGCTTACTCCGTACGGAGTATTCCGTACATACCCTTAAGATAAACTCAGCCTCACTTGAACCTGATGCCCGCATCCCTCATGCATTAGTGGCACGGGCTGAAAAATACCCCTGAACTATGTAATGAACCTCCCCACTCCGCGGAATCCTCAATCTGCAAAGAATTTGACCCTTTCAGACTGACTCTCTATACTCCATACAACGCCAATTTATATGCGAAATGGCCCCGTTCGGGGATAAGAACCCAGATGGGGGCTTGAAGAGTGCCTTTCGAAAGCCAACACCCGAAGAAACCCCAAAGACCAAAAGTGTTGATGAGATATGGTCGGAAGCGATGGAGGAAATTGCTAAGGACTACAGCCTTTCTTCCAAAGAGCTTGAAAAATGGGATGGAAAGCTTGGTTACGGAGAAACTGGCACCGAAAAAGCACAGGCGCTGTTCGCGAACTCGCGGCATCCGGGTGATAAGAAGGACAAGGCGACGAAGGCAGTCGGCAACTGCCTTGAATGGGTTGAAAATGGCCTCGGTTTTGTGAAGAACAATATCTCTGGGACTGTATGAAGCAAAATCCAAAAATTCTGCGAATTCATGCTTACTAGAATCTCTTTGATCGGCGGTATAGTACGCAGTACCGGTCCAGATCTTGACTGGCTCAATTTCGTACATGGTCAAGGTATGTCGCTTTGATCTCTGCGAAGGGAATGTTTTATTTTACTGACCTTTAAATAGGCCGCCCAGAACGTCAGTGATGATTTCGACCTGATAGAGTCGACCTTTGAGACTCTGGACAATGCGCTTGCGGAGATTGGAGATCTACGGCGGTTCAACTTCAAATCAGACAGTATTACATTCCTTGAAAGACTGACTGCCATCTTTATTGCCATGGTAAAGCTATGTGCGCTGAGTGGCAAGGTGTTTTCGACCAGTAGAAAAGGTGAGTGATATCACGCAAATGATATCCACCGTCAGGACTGATTTTTGTAGAACGTTGGTTCAAGACACTCGTTGGAGGAAGAGACCAAAAGATTCAAGGGGCTTGCGCAAACGTAACGAAGGCGATTCAGGCGTTTCGTGATATGGTGCCACTTCAAACTCTGGGTCAGATTCAGATGATGTCTACGGCCATGCAGGATATGCCCGACCGATTCGTCGAGCAACTGCAGACAAAGCTGAAATACTCCGAGCTCCAGCCGCTTTGGGGCCGATCGCAAAAGTTATTGGATCAGATCAAGGATCCATTTAAGAGGTGCAACCTCTTCCACCCCGAGGTCGAAGCACGAATGGAAGCTCAGATGGGACTTGTGGACAAACAGCTGGTAGGCGGCACGTTTTCGTGGACGGAGGATAATTCGACTTATAAAGCGTGGGAATCAGGCCGCAAAGCTCCATATCTCTTCATTCTGGGGAGTGCCGGGTCTGGAAAAACATTTTTTGCTTGTCACTGTTACAAGTCGATTCAAAAGCATAGTGTGAAGGTCATAGCGACTAGCGAAGACAGCTCTGAGAGGAAGAGAGCCCCGTTCGTTACCTATTTCCCGTTCAAGATCGGCAGGGAAGAGTCTCAGCAGCTGGGAAATATTCTTGCATACACTATCCTTCAAGTTGCGATGCAAGACACGAAACTTCGTGAGTCCATTGCGCAAGACTTGAACACATCCAAACACCTCTTTGAGAAGGGGAAAGATATCGATCATGAAAGAACCAAATTCCTTTGGCAAAATCTACTAGTGGCCAAGTTTGAGAGAACCCCAGAGGCCTCGAGGGAGCTGTTCATTTTTCTTGACGGGATTGAGGTGATGAACGAGTCAGACCGCAAAATGATGCTGGACCTATTCCAAGGGTTGAGTCCAGACAAATGCGGAATCCGCATATTGATGACCGGAACAGAAAGCGTCTTGATATCCAAAAAGGAATTTGGGCTTTCAGGATGCCCCAAAATCACTTTGGATGAAAGGATCAGAAAGGAAAAGGACATTGAGAAAATCATGCAGTTCCGCATCCAAAATTCAGAGAGATTGAAATCATATAATGCCAAGGTTTGGGAGACAGTAGAGCAGAAGCTTCTGGATAGCCCGAATCGTAGGGTCCCTAAATATACGAAACAAATCCGTTAGATGAAGATGCTAACTCATGTCTACTACAGCAATCTCCACGGTGGATATCACGATGACGGTGATGGATCAGGCCGATGATGAAAATGGTGGCATGGAGATGATAAAGGAGTTGACGAAACAGAACGGGCTGTATGAGGCAATGATTCGCTCTGTCCTCATTGGCAAGAGTGACAAAGAGCGTGAATTCTTCCGGTTCATTTTTGCTTTGTGCACTTTCACCCAGCGACCATTGAGCATATACATCCTCCAGGAATTTGCAAAGCAGGAGTCAATGTTTCGGAACTCAAACTTGGATGTGGTTTACCAGATTGAGACACGACTGTCAAAGTGAGTCCTTCATATAGCTTTGAATATTTACTGAGGCACCTAACATTCCAGCTTCTTGTATGTGACGAATACATCCGACGAGAAATTGGCGCCGGAAGCGGGTCAAGGGGAAGAGAAAAAAGAGGACAAAGTTGCTATCAGCAAACAACAGATGGTCACTTTTAGACAGGCCTCCTTTCATGAATATCTCAAGAACAACACAAATGATCTGATACCAGACCCTTTGAAATCAAAGGTGTCGTTCTTTGTGAAATTGACCAATTTACTTTGCGGTAAGGACACTGATAGTGCTGGACTCCGCGACGTCTTTCAAGACTATGCTGCTCGATGGTTTATGGAACACCTGAAAGATATTAATGTTAAGAAAGCGGACCCCACAGAAGGCTGTCAAGTTGTTGAAGCCATTACCAGGGTATTCCGCAACGATGGCGACGTTTCTCGCCTGTTTGAAGATATTTCCAGTGATTCAGACTACCATTCCGATGGGGCCGATATTTACGACATATCGACCGACGCAGAATCAAGTGGTTTTGAAAACCTCAAAGTCTTCCGGGAATGGGCCAAAAAGATGAATTTTCACGACGAAGAGGATCTCTCTTCTCAGGCAAAGGAATGGATCGAAGGTACCATCCATGAGCCCCACAAAATGCTCGAAATTTTGGCTCGGGGCCATTTTCAGAGATGGACGGAAACAAAGATCTATGAAGAGGCCAAAATCCCTTATAATTTCCTTTGTCGTGCCCTCCAATTGGTATGTCCCGCACCTAAATATTCCAACGTTTATATACAGCTCTAACAACCATGTATAGCGACAAGGGAGATCAGACGACTTTGAACAGGCCGGCATTACAAAGATCAAGTCCCTGTTGGAATATGCAAAAGAGGGGGAGTTCATTCAGACACCGATTCAAATCGCTCGATGCCAAATCTCTGCAGCCTTGGTTTTACATAATGGCTCTTTTGACGAAGAAGACAGAGAGTTTGCGCGCGAGCTTTATGAAACGAACCTTCAGCAGAAGAAAACATCTGGACCAGAGAAGTTCTATTCGCATTTGGGACTTGCGGAGCACTTCTACAGAGCCAACCAAGCAGACTCCGAAGATACAGAAGATGATAAACCGGACCAGCGCTGGAATTTAGTCCTTGAGCATGCGGATGAAGCACTACGTGCCTGGTGGAAAGAGAAAGGGGCTCTTGGCTCTGATTTGAATGAGGAGAGATGCATAAAGGCATTCGTTCTCAAGGCGCTTTCCTTGAACCAGCTCAAACAGGATGAAGAAGCGATCAACACTTGTCATCGATGCCTTGAGGAGGGCTTTCAATACAACCCTCAGATATCGGAGCTTCTTTCCCTCCTTGTTGATATTCACTCCAAGAATAAGAACTGGGCCAAACTGGTCAGTCTTGTGTGGCAGCAGAAGCAAAATGTCCAAGCAGAGTTCCTCAATCATCTTTTCTATGAATTGGACACCTTAGACAAAGCCTATCTTCTGATGGAGGCGGCGGTGAAATCGAACAGAGTCGATTATCTCATTCGAATGGTCGAAGGAGCGCGCGAATATGCAAAAGAAAAGGATGGCCCGAGGCTCTTTGTTATGACATGGATGCTTGCTTACATCTACCGAATCGTGGCGAAGGTACCCAGAATGGCAGAACACCTCATGATGAACGGGGTTCCAGACAGCGACCAGTACAGTACGGCTCATGCTTACTTCGCCTTCCCCGGACTCGTCACTATATATCAGGAGTACTTCATGAGTGCTTGCTCTGAAAAGGCCCAGTTGGATTTGATTCGAAAATTGGAACTCGCAATCAAGTCTTACGAGAAGAATATCCTCCAAGACAACGGCACCCTTTCAAAGGCAGAATTGGCACTTGCGAAGATGTACCTCGGTATAGGTAACACCCAGCAAGTCGAGGCTCACCTTAATCGCGCCTTTGATATATGCATTGTTGATTTGAAGGATTCCATTGATTCCAACGACCAAAATGCTTTCCGTGCGCTAGCCAAAGTGTTGGCGTTCTTAGGTTTAGAAACAGAAGCTCAGGTTGCGCTTTCGCTCATGTGTTCGCGGGTCGGAGGGAGTGGCGATGAACTACCATTACCCGAGGAACTCAATATGACGATGTCATCTCCTGACATGGATGATGATAACGTGAATCAGCCTGAAGAGAATGGGGGGACAATCGGCAACATTAACACTACTAAGGCTGTTCGTATACTCTCTTCCTTATTGAATCCCGCTATGACTAACTAGCACATCAGACCACCGATGAAGATGCCACGCAGCTGGCCAATACAGATCTCGATCAAGAGAACAAGGATCCCAATATCATGCCGCTCGCCAATGTGGATTCCACCCCTGACCAGAAGGTTGAGGATGAATCTGAATCCCCAAATTCTGCCACGGAAATTCCCCATTCGCCGTCCTCAGAGCCTCATGAGAATCAAAAGGTTATTGGCTCTGAGGAGCAGCCCAAAAAACCCAAAAAGCCAAGTTTCACCTTTTCTCAAGATCTGAACTTTGAAGAAAGTGGGATCTCCTGCGACGGTGTGTGTGAGCCAAAACTCAATATCTCATCATTCGAACCTGGGGGTCCCAAGCTCATGTACTGTCTGGACTGCATGGATGTGGACTTTTGCGAAGCATGCCACATGAAACAAATCAACTTCTTTGACAAGGGCGAAGATGGCTTCTGGTTCAAGTGCTGCTGGGCACGACATGAATACCTCCAAGGGCCCATTGATGGCTGGCTTGGAGTGAAGAACGGGTTCATTTACATGGAGAATCAAGTTGAGGACAAAGTTGAGATATACAAAGTTCAATTCGGAGATTGGTTGACGAGTGTTGAAAGCCGTTGGAAGAAACGCATCAAAACTCCCACTGTCTGGGATGAACTTCGAGCTCGGCAGCGTCCGCAGGGATTGTTTTGACTTCCTGCATTAATTAGCTTGTATATTACGTGAATGATTAATCAGATCAAGGCTGGAATTTTTCTCGTATTCGGCATTGAAATTAATCATACTCGGCTTCATTATGGGCCTTATTTCCTTATCCATACTACTAGCACTCGCGCACTACAAAGAATGCACCATTTGAGGCCAGAAAGAGAGTCAGCCCTATAAAGTATCTTTATTATGGATATTATCTCTCTTACACAAGGGTTTAATAGTTAAGATACGGGATACTTGTAAACCACTAGATGACTATACTCTAGTGGGGGGCTTGGTACTTAGACACTAAGCATGCCTAGTTCTATCAAAGAGACAGGTAGTCCCGTTTAGTCTATCTGTTCTATTTACGTCTAGTACGTCTATTTACGTCCATATTGAGGTTGACTATGAATTTGGCTGCCTGGAGGATCCGAGATGGTGGAGGCGAAGGAGCAAAATGAAAAAGAGAAGTTTTTAAGATCTGCAATTCAAAGAAAATCAAACATCTCAAATCTCAACAAAGATCCAAATATTCAAATATTCAAACATCCAAAGATCCAAATATCCAAATATCCAAACATCTTAAAGAAAGAGAACAGTGCAAGAAGCATCATCACCGATAAGGGAAATCAGACGGTATCTTATCGGGCAATTACGTCGTCTCCGACTTCCAACTTTCCAACCTCCAAACTTGAAAAGGTTGGGATTCCCAAGCAACTCACAGTTCCCCAAATTTCTATCATGGCCCCGGTCAAATATACTCCTCCTCCTACGCCATCACCTCCCGCATCTTGTTACGCCATGAGTGACGACGAAGAAGATGAATACAATACCATCGCCCAGGCAGCCTCGAGTAGAGGGGTGAAACTGCTCTTCTCTAAAAGCAAAGTGAGATAATTTCCACCAAAGAGGAATAATAGACTGACAAGAAATCCAGGTCTACGTTCATCCAACTTCCTCCTCCAAAGATAATATCCCTGGCTTTATCGCCCTCATCCAGCAAAAACCTCTCCCCGCATCACATGCATCCGCGTCTCAATCCAAAAACCCCGACACACCCTCCTATCTCCTCGCATGGGTTCCAGAGTCCTCCCTTGGAGAAGCCTATGATACATATGTGAAAGTAGACCTTTCTGAAGGTGACTCTCCACCGCGCCAGAAGTACCTCGTTCCGCCGCTTCCGACCACCACCACCTACAAAGACCCCATCGGGTTGTATTCTTTTGCAGTTCCGCTATCAGAGATATACTCGCTATTAGTACGACCGCCGAGCCTGGGATGGTGGTTTGGCAGTTTAGTGATCAACACCCGAGCCGGCGATGGCTTCCCCGCGCTATTTTTCCATGACAACGAATGCGAGTCAACCATCCTACAAAAGAGGAAGAAGGTCAAGGAAAACTTCGATCCATTTGGAAAGGAAGGGGGTTTGTTTTGGGGCGGTGATGAGGTACTCCGCTGGTTGCGGAGGTATGTGGAGGTTCAGCGCTCTGCGGTGGACACCAACGTCTACCTCATTAACCCGTCGGATGAGGACCAGCTGTCCTTCGGGCAGCCGGCCATTCACGGCGATACATCCATATCAGCAAAGGCACAACCCGAAGCCGCCGCCGGATCCCGAGCTGAACCGGCTGATGCCAGCATGGACCCATTCATGAAGACTCTCAAGGAAACACGGTGGAAAGTGCTGGAGCAGCTCAGCAAAATCACAACTTTTACTCGTCGGACTGCCAATGAGATCGCAGAGAATCCTCGCATACCGCCTCAGATGCGCCGCTTAATGAAGAATCCAGAGATCCAGACGTTGCAAGACGAGTTCGACAGCGCCAGGGTCTATCTGGCTCGTTGGGCGATGAGTGTTGCCGAGCAGAGTGATAAGGAGCGAAACCAGCGCATATGGACTGCGCAGGATATGCTGGAAATGGAGAATAGTTCGGTTGGCGACTTTGAGATCTTAGAGCTGGAGACCGGGAACCTGGCTCTCCAGGAGCGACGCCGTGTTCTCCAACTGCAAGAATGGGAAGGCTTCTTCGACCCGACCTCGGGTAGACTTCAAGTAACGGTGGAGGAGGTGAAGGAGCGGATCTTCCATGGCGGCTTGGATCCCAATGATGGCGTCAGAAAGGAGGCATGGCTCTTCCTTCTCGGTGTGTATTCATGGGATAGCAGCCGCGAGGAGCGCCAAGCGATGATGAACTCTAAGCGTGATGAATATATCCGGCTGAAGGCAGGCTGGTGGGAGCGAATGGTCGAGGGCAACTCGACGATCGAGCAGTTTGATAATTGGAAAGAGCAGAAGAATCGGATAGGTGAGATTCAACATTGGATTTAACATAGTGGCTACTAACATATGGATATAGAGAAGGATGTTCACCGCACTGACCGTACCATTCCTTTGTTTGCGGGCGAAGACATCCCTCACCCGGATCCTGATTCTCCGTTCGCCGAAACAGGTACCAACGTGCACCTGGAGCAGATGAAGGATATGCTCTTGACTTACAATGAATTCAACCCTGATCTTGGATACGTCCAAGGAATGAGTGATCTCCTGGCGCCGATCTATGCTGTGATGCAAGATGACGCCGTAGCTTTCTGGGCATTTGTTGGGTTCATGGATCGAATGGTATGTTTCCCACAATGCAAAAAGCCGCACTATCTTACTAATGCTTTTGCAAAGGAACATAACTTCCTCCGAGACCAGTCTGGAATGCGTGGCCAACTATTAGCACTAGATAACCTCGTCCAGCTCATGGACCCGCAGCTCTACTTGCATCTACAGTCCGCCGACAGTACTAATTTCTTCTTCTTCTTCCGCATGTTGTTGGTGTGGTACAAACGGGAGTTTGACTGGAGCGATGTCCTGCGTCTATGGGAGACATTGTGGACCGATTATTTCTCCAGCAGTTTCCACCTGTTCATTGCGCTCGCCATACTCGAGAAGCACCGAGACGTAATCATGGATCATCTCAAGCACTTTGATGAAGTGCTGAAATACAGTATGTGGACATCTGAATATATTATTGATTTCGACTTACTAACATTGCAATCTCTAGTCAACGAACTGTCTAACACGATGGATCTTGTACCCATTCTCACCCGCGCCGAATCTCTCTTCCACCGTTTCGAGCGTTCCGTGCAAGCTATCGACAAGAAAGACAATTTCCCCGCTGCTCCCGCCGCTCACCAGCGTCGCCCAGGCGCAACCGGTCAAGATGCACCTTCAGGTAGCAAGGGAAAATCACCCCAGCCTACTGTTGGATCAAGCAGCGGAGTCAGCGCTGGCCCCTCTAATCTCCAAAAGGCAATCGACGCCGATAAGCCGAAGGTGATTTCCCCAGAGCTACGCGTATTACTTCGAAAGGACATCCCTTGGAAACGCCAACAGACTTCATGATTGGCATCAGGTACTATGATGTTAGGATTCAATGTCTCGCTTGGTATGGATGTCATCCTCTCCGCACTGGGTGATTGCTTTCCTTGTACTGTTCTCCAATTCCTGGCTTTCATGATTTACGATTGTCTTATGTATATTGTTCTTTACTTTTTTCTTTCATCACTCGGTCTTGTGGAGGAAAGGGACGTGGACCAGGGTGTTTTGCCATATCGCACCTTTATTTTGAAATGAATTATGCAACGTCTCCATTCACCCGCATTTTCAATCGAGGATTCTTCTTTACGGGCTTGAAGTTTATGGAGGTATCTACAATATTGAGACGTCTTGTAGCCACATCTATTCAGGATCTAAGTATACATATACTGAGAACAGTCGAAATAGAAAGAAAAAAATGTGTTTCAAACAGGTGCTAAAAGTTGAAGCTGCGAAGATCAACTTTCATATTGAAACACAGTCGTTGAGCCACTAAGGCCCTTCTGTTGCAAACGAAGCTTTTCTGACTGTTCGAGCTCAAATTACCCCATGATGGCAGATTTCAATCCGACGATATTACTGCGCATGCGTGGTCAAACAGCTTGGCGGCAGAGTATGGCCAGAAGCGCTTACTTCATTCACATCAACCCTACGGAGTATATATAGATCATCTATCAACGTAGCTAGTTGAAAGGCCTTGCACTAAAGCAAAGGAAAGATAAATTTACGAAAAAAACATACAACAG